CAATAATTCTTTTTTATCACTAAATTCATTCAATAGATTCAATAATCTAATAGTTAAATAGTAAATAATTAATTAAATAGGTTATTATTAACTTTTGTAATAAATAATTGGGTAAATTTGTTTCGTTTTGGAACCCAATTTTTATTTTTATTTAAAAGCATACCTAAACGTTTAGTTTATGTTTCATTTGCTACTGCAACATTAAAAAATTAATGGTGATGCTAACATGTCGCCATAAGGTAATACTACATCATCATTGAAAAATAAAAATTTATCAAGTCGGAAATTAGAGGTGGCAAACGGGTCATTCGAATCGGGTTCAGGTCGGGTCATTTCGGGTAAGGTCATTTCGGTTTTGAGACTTGGTTCAGGTCGGATTCGAGTCGGTCATTTTGATTTCGGTTTTAATTCGGGTCAATGGTAGGTCGAGTCAGGTCAATATCGGATCGGTTGATTTTTTGGGTCGTGTCAATAGTAGATCAGTTGATTTCAGGTCGGGTCAATATCAAATTGAACAGTCTCAGTTCTGATCAATATTTAGATTTTCGGTTCAATTTGTGTTGAGTTAAGTATGAGTCCAATCAAGTATATATAAAATTATTGATATATTCTTATAAGAAAAAATATATTTTTGTTTGTCAATCTTATCATTTAGGTTCAAGTTCAACTTTCAACATTCAATGTTTCAAATAACAATATCATTTATGGATGATAATTTGACTCGAACCTCTAAGACATTATATTTTGTGACTTGAATTTTATATTGATCTAACCTAAAAAGTTTGTGGTGCAACCTATTTGGTGAAGAATTAAATTTTAAATTATAAATGTTATTCTCAATTAAAATTTTTAATTAGATGTTTGATGTTTAATTATAAATATAATATTTATTGAATTTAAAAAAAATAATAAAATAATTATATTTGGATGAATATTGATATAATTTTTAAATAATATAAAAGTTATTGGATCACATACAAGGAAGACTTTTTAATGAGGAAATGTTATATTGAACCATTCAACTATTGCTAAAGGTGATATATTAATGGTTAATTATTAGTATAATACAAAATGAGAATAAAATATCCATCATTTTACTATTTATCAAATTATTAAAAATAGATAATAATAATAGTAATAAATTATTCATTACTTAGACTCGACTATCAGGTTAAAATCGGGTCGAAATTCGATTCGGATGGGATATGGGTAAATTAAATTTGGGTAGTTTTTGGTTAGGGTTATTTTCGGTTTGGGTTATTTTCTGTTCGGGTGGATTTTGGTTTGGGTTAATTTTGGTTCAGGTTGATTTTGGTTCCGATTGATTCCGATTTGGGTTGTTTTCGGTTCAACTAAAATTCAGGTCGGTTTCGGTTCAATTCAGTTTATTTCGGGTGTCTAATTAATTTTGGGTCATCATATTTGGGTCTATATCGGGTCTCAAAACGAGTAAATCGGATCAGGTTATCAGGTACGAGTCAACTTTGTCAGGTCTATCGGTAATTTTGTTAATTTTTTAATGGGATGCCAAATTGACACCTGAACTAAATGTTAGGTATATTTAAAAAAGAAATTAGGTATCAAAACAGAACAAAAGTAACAGTTTAGGGACTAAATGAATAGTTTACCCTAAATATTAGTTACATAACATCCAATGGGTTGGAAATTGCAATAAAATGAGTTTTAGCAATTAATTAGGACCACTGACTTCAGCGTCGGAAACTTAAGAGGAGATAAGACTTGTGAAAAGCACGGGCGTGTCACGTGCCAACCAACAATTGCCATACCTCTTCTTCCACATTTTCATGCGCCCACACAAGTTTTCCAACGGACCTTTCATTAATAGAATTATTATTATACCCCTATTCAATTCCACTTTTGCTTCTCTTTGTTTTCCTTTATTATTATTATTTTCACGTTTTTCTCTTGTTATATTTAATCAGGAGGAGCGGATAATTAAAATGAGCGTTTAATTCGACGTGACAAAAATGGATTCGAAACCCAGAATTTGAAACTATGTGTACTTTAAATTTCATCCTAACTTATGTTGTCTTAAGCTGAGATTTTGCTTCCATATATTGAGAATGATGATTTGCATGTTTTCTTTGAAATTCCGACAAGGTTGAATAATCTGCGCTTAGCATCTATGATTAATTGCTTAATTAATGGTTCTTGGGAATGTCTTTTCAATTACCCACCCGGTTAGATAATGCGTTGTCTAAGTTAAAGTTATAAAAATATAATAAGATAACGCCAACTAAGCTCAAGTTCTCAAAACTTCTGATTTTTTCGTCGTTATCTACTGGAGCTCAAATTGATTTTTCACAACTGGTATCTTTCAGTAGTATATGGTATAAGAGAAGAATTTGTATTTATTAGTGATCACTTTTCTTCTTTTCAAACCCTAGCAAATAATGAATTTTCTACGTGAATCCTGGAGCTTAGTTCATCACGTAAAGGTCTTCAAATTATAGAATGTATAAATATTAAGAATCAAATGTTTAATTAGAATAAACTTTTAACAACCACGTCATCTCTTTCGTTAAATATTAACAACGGGTGGTTTGATTGCATCACTTAAGTAGTTAAGTAATTTAATTGAAAAAATTAAAAGATCGATGAAAAAAAAACATTAGTTAAATTGTCATTGGTATATTTTACCCTAAAATATAAATATGCATAAACACAAACAATGCATATGACATTATAAACTAGTTTTTCTCTCTCTTCAAATAAACAATTTTTATAATTTTATGGGATAATTATCAAAACTATAAATGAATTTTGGTCTAATTGTAATATGGTTAGGGATAATAATTTTACTTAAATTCAATGAGTTTTGATATGATCTGCTTTTATGTCTTTTTTTTAAAAAAAAGTTTGAATCATATCAAAATTGTTGAAAGATAGGGTTAAGTTGGGTTGAATTTAAGTTTAAGGGTAAAAAAACTCGATTTGAAATAATAATATAATTTTCCTCTATATACATAGAGAAAATTACTATAATACAACTCTCTATATTTTTTAATTATGTCTTCATTTTTTGAATAAAAATAATGTTTTTTTGTTATATTCAAGTCGGGTGAAATGTGTGTTTTACCTTAAAAGTTAGGTTAAATTTTAAGACCGAATGAAACTTTTCTAAACTCATATAGAATTGGATATCAAATAGAATATGATACCTGAATTAGACTCATATATTCCAAAAATCTTATCCGATTTATTGCATAGATATGATACTTCTGCTTGTTTTAGCTTTTACAAATCATTAAAACTATGTTATCATAAATATCGTTTTATGTCTAGATATTGTATAAACAATTGACTATATTTATTTTTATATGAAAATGAATAGATATATTTATTTTTTGAATATTTTAATTGAATTAAAATCTAATTTTTTATATAGAATCAAATTTAAAACTAAATTATATTTTATAAATTACATTATATTATATTAAAATACACGTATTATATTATATATTCAATCAAAATTCAAATATAGAATTAAAATTTATCCCATCTTAATTTGTGTATGATTACGACACTTAATTTTTTATTTTAAAATGTAAATGGAATCATTGGTAGTTGTATGGAATTGATATCGTGGGATTAAATATTGGCATCCAACAACAACACTCCTCTCTTTCAACACACTTGACCTAACTTGCGTCATACGGTGTCTCATTTTTTCCGCTAAACTTGTCAACGTTACCGGTTATTCTTTTCTAATTAAATCAACAATGTATATATATAACCATAACAAGCATAAATGTCGATTATACCCTTGACGAGTGTCCGTTTCACACGCCGAGTGGATGCTTACGTGGACGTTGAGATAAAACCAAACTTTGTCCTGAGCACGCTCTCACGTGCTCTCCACACGTGTCAAACACTTTGCCTCTCCCCTTCTTCCTCCGCCATAAGATCTGCCCACTTCCATCCTTTTCGGTTTTTCACTCGAAAATCGTTTTTTTCTTTCTAAATGCATCCTATTAAAATTATAAATAAATAATAATTATTTAGTTTAAAAACACAAACATACCTGTAATAATATCTTCATTTTTCTCTCTCAATTCTTCAAAGTTTTATCCTGATTAATTCGGATCAACTCATGTTATATACTTAATTTTAGTGGATGAATATTCTAACATGAATTTTTTACATTTATAAAATTTTGAAATCGAACTTATTTAAATAATATTAAATTGATTATCATTTGAATCAATACATTGATGTAATAATACCATTTTAATAAACATGAAATATTTTATTTATGGGATTGCTTTTATTTTATTCTATAATAATTAGCGTTTTGATTTTTACTTTAAGAAAATTGGTATAGACTGAAAAAGGGAAGAATCTAATGGTACTTCATGTACCAAAAAATATACACATTTATGAAACTAGCAGATTTTTATATCTAAATAAATTAGAGAAAATGAGTTGGAATTCGGAATATTATATTATATTTGGAATATTTTTTGTCCCACGCCTTGCATGATGAATATATTCTCTAATTATCTAACTATTTTAAATACTCTTATATTAATCCACAATTTTAGAATTCTTTTTGGTAATATAGTTTTTGCACATTATTACTATTTTAATAATATTATAAAATCTAAAATATTATAAAACTATAATTAGAAAACATACCAGTGGGTTAAAAATGGTGCTTACAATACTATATAATATTAAAAAAAAATAACTAAACAAATAAAAATAATTATAAACATGTGAGGATCAATTAATTCGAGAATTTAAATTAAAAATAAGTAAATAATTAAAAATGCCAACAGAAGAAACAACTCAATTATAATAAATAAATAAATAAATGAAATGAAAATTATGACAAGATTGTCTTAATACTACTTATTTTTATCAGTACTTTTCGGACTCAAAATATTTTTTTATTTTAAAAATAGGAAAAAGGATCCTATTTTATGTAGCGATTGATTAAAAGCACATACTTCTCGCTAACAAGACAGAAGAAAACAAAATAGGCAAAATTACAAAAAAGATAAAAGAGGAAAAAAAGGGGGGAAAAACACATTCTTCTTTACTGCCACAAACACAAAGAAGAGAAAAACAGCTGTGAAATGAAATCTCCAAATCGTTTGAACAGGCAAAGGATTTAGGGATTTTGGAAATCTGAATCGGAAATCACGTCGAAGTTGCTTTCTCTATAATGTCGACTCCATTTTCGAGCTTAGAAGCCGGTGGAGGAGGAGGCGTAGCGATAATGGCAGGTCCTTTGAATCCAATAGATCCATCCACACCGTCCAAATCTTGCATGAAGAATTCGGCATCTAAATCTCCCATTCTCATCTTTCTATTCTTCCACAAGGCCATCAAGGCTGAGCTCGACGGCCTCCACCGAGCTGCCATGGCTTTTGCCACCAACCACCACGACGCTGATCTTACTTCTTTGTTGGAGAGATATCATTTTCTTCGTGCTATATATAAGCACCATTGCCACGCCGAAGATGAGGTTCATGTGTTGTCATTTTCCTCATTGTTCTCTCTCTCTCCCCGTGTGTGTTTTTTAAATATTGGTTTTGGCTTTATTTTGCCCCTTCTTTTGAATCGACGAGTCTTGTATTTGTTGTTGTTCTTTACTATTTTCGGAAAATTCTGATATCTTCGTCAAATTAGCTTTTCTGAATTTGTTACTAAATTCGTAGGTTTTGTGATGCTTTTATCGTGTTTGAAAGGTTATTGTTAAAGGGAAAGAATTTGATTGATTATAGAACTTGAATATATCGCTATATTTAGATATGGGTTAATTTCTGTAAAGCTCGCTGTCCTAGTCTTCTCTACCTTGATGGCTCAAAAGACTGAGAAAATCCCAGTGAATTAACCTGCCTTATTGTAACTTAATAACTTATTCATCTAATAGAAGTTCTACAGTATCTCCAAGGTCATTTTTTTCCTTATTCTTGTTGGTTGCATCATCAATTCATCACCTTACATTTGTCTGATGTTTGGGACTGATTATTTAGTTAAAAGCTATCTTATGTGTAGGTTATCTTTCCGGCTCTTGATAATCGTGTGAAGAATGTGGCTCCAACATATTCACTTGAACATGAGGGTGAAAGTGTACTGTTCGATCAGTTGTTTGCATTGCTGAATTCAGATATGCAGAATGAAGAAAGCTATCGGCGAGAATTAGCCTCTTGCACTGGAGCCCTTCAGACATCAATTACTCAGCATATGTCCAAGGAAGAGGAGCAGGTCGGTTAGATATTTGAGGCAAATGTTGCATATGAAAATTAAACCAGATTTTGGTTGTTTTGTTCTTCACGCATGATAACAGCTCTTCTACTGTATTTTGGAGGTGGATGAGCTTGCGATATTCATTGCTGAGATGATTTTCTTCATTGTGATATTCAAATTTAGGATTAGGGGTTCAAACTTCAAGGCTAAAATTTTCTTTAGTTTCACATGATTGCTTTGGAATTGGCAGGTATTCCCCTTGCTTATTGAGAAGTTTACATTCGAAGAGCAGGCATCACTGGTATGGCAATTTCTTTGCAGCATACCTGTTAATATGATGGTGGAGTTTCTTCCATGGCTTTCCTCTTCTATATCATCTGACGAACACCGAGATATGCGTAAGTGCTTGAGCAAGATAATTCCAAGAGAGAAACTTCTTCATCAGGTGACAAGTCGTCTAGGTTATTTATGATATTATTATTAATTAATTTTCCAAAACTCGAAAGTTCCTTTGAGAATCAGATCTCACATTTTTTCTGTTGTGAAGGTTATTTTCACCTGGATGGAAGGTGTTAAGACAACTGAGACATGTAAAAATTGCAAAGACGAGGCTCAATGTGACGCTTCTGGGCCTGTTTTCTTACCAAGTCCAACTGAAAGTGGCCACTGTGCATGTGAATCTTCCAAAAGTTGTAAAAGAAAATATACGGAGCTAAGTTCTGGACTTGAGTATTCTACTCTGTCCTGTCCTATAGATGAAATTATGCTTTGGCATAATGCTATTAAGCGAGAACTGAATGATATAGCTGAGTCTGCTAAGAAAATACAACTTTCTGGTGATTTTTCTGATTTATCTGGCTTCAACGAGAGGCTGCAGTTCATTGCTGAAGTATGCATCTTTCACAGGTGTGGTTTTTCTCTGTGTTTTCAACTTTAATAGTTAAATTGTGATAAAAAAGTTATTGTCAAGCCTGTTTTTATGTTATTAGAAAGAGGCATTCCAAATTAGTAATCATCTTTGATTAGGATTGTTATTACTTCATAGCTGACACTTTCTATCTTGCATGTTCTTTTGAAGCCAGAGTTTATTGTAGGTGGCTAAAAAACTTCAATTGTATGATCTTGTGTGCGATACAGAAAAAATAAAATGAAATGAAAATATCTGGGCAACTTGTTATTTGCCTTTATGAGTTATGACTGGTAACATAATAGATACCTGTCATGAAATTAACTTATCTTCTCTCTTGCTGCAGTATTGCTGAGGATAGAGTTATATTCCCTGCCGTAGATGCAGAACTATCTTTCACTCAGGAGCATGCAGAAGAAGAAATTCAGTTTAACAATCTTAGGTGCCTTATCGAGAATATTCAAAGTGTGGGAGCCGACTCATCTTCTGCTGAATTCTATACAAATTTATGTTCACAGGCTGATCAAATAATGGATAGTATACAAAAGCATTTCCATAGTGAAGAAGTACAGGCATGTATTTTCTTACTCCAATTTTATGAGTTTCTGTCTTTGCTTTGTATAATTACGTTGCATGCTTCTGTATTTCTTGACATTTGTATAATGGTTGTACCAAAGTGTCTGCAAGTTTACCAGAGCATATCACTTGAAACCTTGTTTCTCATCTCTTTTTGCACCTTAGAGCTGTCCTTAAGGTATGCTGTATTCCTCTTGTAGGTACTTCCACTTGCTCGGAAGCACTTCACCCCTCAAAGACAGAGAGAACTTCTTTATCAGAGCTTATGTGTGATGCCCTTGAAATTAATTGAGTGTGTCTTGCCATGGTTGGTGGGATCGTTAAGTGAAGAAGAAGCTAGGTCTTTCCTTCAAAATATGTATTTGGCAGGTTTGATTATTATTGACAGTGTTCTAGGTTATGTTTTCCCTTTTGTATGTTTCTAACTTTCAGATTACATGGTCAGCTCCACCATCAAACTCTGCATTGGTTACACTATTTTCTGGTTGGGTGTGCAAAGGTCGTTCTGCAGATGTTTGTCTGTCTTCCGGTTTATTTGGTGGCTGTCCTGCAAGAATACTTACTAGAGCCCAGAAGGATATTGACCAACCATGCTGTGCATGCACCTCTATCTGTTCTACCGAGGAAAGGCCAAATTGTGTTAAGGCAGATGATAATAGAAGGCCAGTAAAGCGTGGAAATTTTTTTATCTGAAGACTCGGATTCTTTTCAGTTGACAGGAATAATAAATAGCCATAAATTATCTTGTAGTGATCAATCTTGTTGTGTCCCAGCTTTAGGAGTGAATAGCAGTAAGCTGGGCATGAGTTCTCTGGCTGCAGCAAAATCTTTGCGGTCATTATCTTTTACTCCTTCTGCTCCCTCCCTCAACTCCAGTCTTTTTAACTGGGAAACAGATATTAGCTCTAGTGATGTTGGAAGCTTACGACCAATTGATAACATATTCAAATTTCATAAAGCCATCCGTAAAGATTTGGAATATTTGGATATTGAATCTGGAAAGCTTAATGATTGCAATGAGACTTTCCTTAGGCAGTTCACTGGCAGATTTCGCTTGTTGTGGGGTTTATATAGAGCTCACAGTAATGCTGAAGATGATATAGTATTTCCAGCACTAGAATCTAAGGAGACTCTTCATAACGTTAGCCACTCTTATACTCTGGATCACAAACAGGAGGAGAGGCTTTTTGAAGATATTTCATCTGCACTTTCTGAGCTTACGAAACTTTGTGAATGCTTGAACAATAGTGATGTGCATGATAACATGAATGAAATTAACTCTGATTCTTCTGAGAAAAATGATACAATGCAAAAGTACATTGAAAAATCCACAAAGCTTCAGGGCATGTGTAAATCCATTAGAGTAACACTGGATCAACATGTGTTCCGAGAAGAACTTGAGCTTTGGCCGTTGTTTGATAGACATTTTTCTGTGGAGGAGCAGGACAAGATTGTTGGCCGAATTATTGGTACTACAGGTGCAGAGGTGCTCCAGTCAATGTTGCCATGGGTAACTTCTGCCCTTTCTCAGGAGGAGCAGAATAAAATGATGGACACATGGAAACAGGCAACTAAGAACACAATGTTCAGTGAGTGGCTTAATGAATGGTGGGAAGGAAATGCAGCATCTTCACCGACATCAACATCTGAGAGTTGCTTTTCTCTTGGTATGCTTAATGCTTCTGTCCATGGTTTATATTGTTCTATTTCTCTTTTTAGTCTCTTTTGGTTGCTGGGTTACTGAAATTTTAAGCTGTTAGTTCTTCGAATTTCTTGATATCTGAATTAAGGATTTTCAGATATGATCTCTTCCTAAAGAAATTGAAAATTTCTTTTTTAAGGCACCGATGTACATGAAAGTCTAGATCATAGTGATCTCAATTTTAAACCTGGATGGAAGGATATATTTCGTATGAATCAGAATGAGCTTGAAGCTGAGATCAGAAAAGTTTCTCGGGATTCAACTCTTGATCCAAGGAGAAAAGCGTATCTTATTCAAAATCTTATGACCAGGTTTAGTCCGCCCATAATACAATCTTATGAGCCCTATGTAAATCTGTGTGTATTTGTATCATTGCTTCATTCTAATAACTTTGTTGGTTATGCCAGTCGCTGGATAGCTGCACAGCAGAAGTCTCCTCAAACTTCAGCAGTGGAAGGTTCAAATGAGGAAGACATACACGGATGCTCTCCATCTTTCAGAGATCCAGAGAAACAGGAATTTGGATGTGAACATTACAAAAGAAATTGTAAACTCCGTGCTGCTTGCTGTGGAAAATTATATACTTGTAGGTTTTGTCATGATAAAGTCGGTGACCATTCAATGGATAGGTAAGATTCTCCCACTCTTGCTTTCTTGGTTTTGGACCAACTTCTGTAAGCTTAATTTTTGTTTGTTTAATTGCAGGAAGGCTACAACTGAAATGATGTGCATGAGTTGCCTGAAAATCCAGCCTGTTGGACCAGTTTGCATGACACCTTCGTGTGGCCAGCTCTCAATGGCAAAATACTACTGCAGCATCTGCAAATTTTTTGATGATGAAAGGTGCAATCAATCTCTTTAGGATTCCTTCTTTCTGTCTCTGTTAATACTAGATCTAAAGAGTTCAATATTATTGTGAAGATAACTAGAAATGTTGAGTAAATTTGAAATTTGTTAATGAGTTTGTTGTCTCTTGATCATCTGGAACACTAAAGAAACCTCCCAAAAGAGTGAAGAATGCTTCTACCTGATTTGCTCGTTCCCTTGTTTATTCGGTAGAATTTCTAAGTTTGTCTTTATCTGATTGGTTGCACAAAGACCGAGCTATGTTTAGAAAATGAATTCTAATGAGCACTCTGTGAACTGGTTCTTATTTCAGTCTGGAAACTTTTGACAGTTTTGTAACAATAGGTGTCGACTTCTGTTGCTGTTCTATAAATATTCATCTTGTTTCTTCCATTTATTTCAGGACTGTCTATCATTGCCCATTCTGCAACTTATGCCGTGTTGGAAAGGGACTTGGTGATGATTTCTTTCACTGTATGGTGTGTAATTGCTGTCTGTCCAAGAAGTTGGTGGACCACAAATGTCGAGAAAAAGGTCTAGAAATAAACTGTCCTATCTGCTGTGATTTTTTGTTCACATCAAGTGAAAGCGTAAGAGCACTTCCATGCGGTCATTTCATGCATTCAGCATGTTTTCAGGTCTGCTCAGTATTGCTTACTTTATTATGTCTATAGATTTTATTCTGATTCAACACATCAAGCTTAGCTTTGATGTAGTGAAAACAATATTGTGGACTGCCTAATAATAAATTCACATACTTTGTTTTGTCAGGCATATGCATGCAGTCACTACATCTGCCCAATTTGTAGCAAATCAATGGGAGATATGGCGGTAAGAAAATGAATTATAAATGCATACTGCCATTTTAAGTTATGATTGCACATGAAATTATTTTAGGGGTTACTTAGGTTGATTTTTTGTTTCAGGTTCAGTCATTTTTGTTTGCTTGCATAACTTAAACAACTATTATCGAAGTAAATTGTACCTCACTTTCTTCCTCAAACAACTTAAATATCATATGAACCTTAACTGTTTTGGATCATGATTTCATCTTCAATTTGTATCAAGAACATATTTCTTCCTCCCAACACATACTAAATGGCTGATAGTTGATGGCTCGTTTCATTCATCCCCCAGCATCACTTTTACATCTAGTTGAGACGTTCTACTTATTCTCAAGTTTTTCTACTACCTCTTTTCAGGTTTACTTTGGCATGCTCGATGCCCTTTTGGCTTCCGAGCAGCTTCCAGAAGAATACAGGAATCGTTGTCAGGTAAACCATGCTCCATGCACGACATTTTAAGTGTATTCTTCAAGCTCCTGTTTTTTAGGAATACCAACACACTCGTGCTGTTAATCCAGGACATACTGTGCAATGACTGTGATAAGAAGGGAACGGCAGCATTTCACTGGATGTATCACAAGTGTGGTTATTGTGGTTCATACAATACCAGGGTAATCAAGGTTGAGTCAGCAAATACCTTCTGCTCGACCTCAAATGTTTGAGGGATCTGATCTCATGTTAATTTAGGTATGTGTGTAAATACCTCAAGAGTGCCCGCTTACGTACAAGGCTCGTATAAAATCAAAATTATTGCAGGAATCAAAATCCTTTTTTTCTTTCTTCGATTTCAATCCCTATAGATAGAAGAAATTAGCCTTTTTTTTTTTCAAAGATGTTAATTGTTGTTGAAAGGCAGAGCAAGTTTCAAAGATGTATTCAGAACTTTTACCTTGTCTATTGTGCATATTGTTTTTACCTAAGATAGTAGTTGTGATTGTTGATGAACTGTATAGTATGCTATTTGAAATTTAGACCAGAATGAGAAATTTACCTGTGGAGGTGCAGCTACTCCCTACATGCAAACAGCTCCTGTCCCTTTTTACTTACTGCAGCTTTCACAATCATCGGAACTACAAAGGAAATCCAGCAGGCAACGCTTTCCGCTCACGTTATTATGAAAAAACCAGAGACCGGAATTGTAACATTGGTGAAGTCTTGGATGAGATGAGTATCTCGCAAGGTGATCATCGGACCTGACTACCTGAGCTAAAAGAACGTTGATCAGATTATATTTTCCGGACATGGAAATTGAAGATTAAGCATGATAGGGTTACGGTGGGATTGTGCATGGAGGATGACGGCTGCATACCTGCCTAACTGGCGTTTATGTTTATCGTTTCCTTTGGCAGGAACAAGAGTATTAATGGTCCAATTTTCTGATTAGTTCCTTTATAATTCCATCGCTTTCTCTTAAATATTTTTTTTAAAAATGATTTACTTCTGAATTTTTTTATAAAATCAAATGTTTGAGGTATTTAATAACAGTTGACGAGGTCATAGTAAAGTTCTTATAAAATTAACATCTTAAAATTATTTATAATTTATTAAGTAAAATTCTTAAAAAGTAATCCCAAGAGTTTATCTTTACCCATGTTCATAATTTTTATAGAAGTGTCTACTCTCTTAGCATTTACATGATGTTGTTTTGTTGATTTTTTTATTGAGTCGTATGATTATTAAAAGTTACAAAATAATTTCTTAACTATAGATTGATGTTACGTTGAATCTCATGATTATTAAAAGTTACAAAATATTCTCATGTCTATCTAGTGATATTTTGTTAAGTCATTTGACTATTAAAAGTTACAAAATGATTAATAAACTATTTTTGAGTTCTAAATTTGTCATTTTCTTTTAAAAATTTGACAACCATCTAAGTTAGACGTTAATCTATTAATTGAGATATAATAAAATTATATTTTAATGTTTACTGGCACTATCGTTGCTTTCAAGCACCGACTCGATGACATAATGTTTTAAGCACTGGTTCGATGACATAATGTACACTGAGATAAAATTCACAAAATAATGCTCAAACGGTTCTAGGTTCAGATTTTATCATATCCTAGTCAACAAGTTAACGTTAAACTTAAATGACCACCAATTTTTTAACAGAAAATGACAAGCTTAGAATATATAAATAGTCAGAAGACTTAACAAAATAACACTCTATAATCTGGAATCATTTGTATAATATACCCAATTCAACTTGATAGAATTATTAAAATTTATGGTATATTTATATATATACATGAAATACGTATGGATTTAAAACTATAATAATTAAAATTCGATTAATTTTGTCAATTAAATTTGTAATATGAAGATAAAAAAAGTTATTGAATAAAGTTAAGATTGACACTAAATCTCATATTTGATCTCATTTTCCGACTATTACAATAAAAGAGAAACGATAAAAGAATATTAATATTGATTCGAGAAATAAATAATATCATCATAAACTTATACAAACATAGATAATTTTGTATACATATATTTTCATGTTATCTTACAATTTTCATTATAATAAATTCCACCGATTAATGTAAGAAAATATAAAGTATTATATGTTCAAAGATAACTTTCAATTATTTGACATTATTAGCTCGTATCTATGGTATTCTTGGTACTTGAACTCGAAACCTTAAATAATAACAATTCTTTTACTACCAATATCACCGAGGTTCATGCACAATTATTTATAATAATAAATGAAAATAATTGTAGAAAATGGTTTTAGGATAAAGTATACAAATGGTTCCTCAATTATAGGATGATACTTTGTTGAGTCTCTTTACTATTAAAAGTTACAAAATGGTTCTATGACCATAAAACATAGAGTTCCCGACTATTTAAAGTTACAAAATAGTCACCGACTATTCATATGTTCCAAAGTTATCATTTTTCGTTAAAAAAAATTGATTGTCATATGTGATGAATGTTAACCTGCTGATTAAGATACGATAAAATTTGGTCCTAGAATCGTTTGAGTCGTATAGTCATTTGAGATTCTGGGATCATATTTTATCATATCTCAGTCAGCAAGTTAACAACCAACTCAGATGCCATTAATTTTCTTTAATAGGAAAATATGAGTTTGAAACATATGAATAGTCGGGTGGTCATTTTATAACTTTTAATAGTAAGATGACTCAACAAAACAATACCATATAGTCGAAGGACAGTTTTACAATTTTTAATAGTTAGGGACTCAACAAAACAACACCCTAGTCGGGTGACCATTTGTGTACTTTAGCCATAATTTTATTATTTTCATTGAAATGACGCTCAAATCGAATAATAATCTATCTGGTAACTTGTTCTTATTGGAATAAAAATCCATTTATTTGCTAAAATCCTGAAACATATAGAACAAAATAAGCATTTTTCACTTGACAAACACTGCACTAATTCTTCCAAGCCGGTTTCCTAACCACAAGAACAGGGCACTTAGCATTGTGAACACAGTGATTGCTAACACTTCCAAGAAAGGCCCTGTCTCCAACACAATTTGTATATTTATTCTTCAAACAATAAGAATTAAGAATCCAAATCAAGTTAAGATTGTTCACTCACCTCTGTATTGCTCCTCGACCATTGCTTCCCAATATAAGCAACTCAATCTTGAGCTTTTCCACGGCATCACATATTGCCTCTTTTGGGTCCCCAACTTCTTTCATTGTCTCTGCTTCAACCTGCAGCAGAAAAAAATTAGTTAATCACGATGATTTTACATCTAACATAATGATTCTTTCAAGATATAGTTAAAATCTATCTAATTTCTATTACCTTATTTCTTAGTAAGTGCTAATGGTTTCTTTTGTAAGTACTATCATTTCCGACACTAAATAAATATGGTTTCTGCTGTTATAACATATAATTATATAGAGAGAGAGATCAGACAAATTAAGAATCAATGCTCAAAGAAACAAATCAATAAATTTTATGATACCCCATGATTGGCGCAGATCTCCTTAGCTTTCTCCAACAAAGCTAAAGCCACCTTCTTTTGGTTTTCTTGCACGGTTGTGATCAAATCCGCAGCTGTGGTTTCATCAAACATTATTAACTTTTCGTGATCAATACGCAGCTGAGTTTTCGATATCCAAATCGACCAAAACATAGAGAAAAAAAATGAAATCGAGAACCCAGAACCGAAAAGAAGAAGAAGAGAGGAGAAACATACGAGGGGCACCGTAGGTGGAAGCAGAAAGGTAAGTGGGGAGAGGCTGTGCGTTGAAGATGAAAAGCTGAGAATCAGAGATGGTTTCACGGAGGTTGTCAAGAGCCCAGTGGAGAGCGTAGTGGCTGCACTCGCTCTCATCTATTGCCACCATCACTTTCTTCTTCGTCTTCCCTTCTTCCATTCCCACAGGTGTCACGGAGGCTTCTTGTTTGCAGCTGTTTTTTTCCTTTGTTTTTTTCTTCTTTTTTTAAGTCTTATCTGAAAGGACTAGACTGTTCCTAATATTTATATTCTCAAGTTTTTTACTACCGGTAAGTTTTGAGTCTAATTCTTTTATTTATTTTGGTTATTTATTTTTGGGTAAACGACTAAAATAACCACTTAATTATGATATTAGTGTTGATATAATTATCGTACTTTCAATTTTGTCAATATGAGCACATAACTATATAAATAAGAATTGATTTTGGGTGTTTAGTTTAACGCTGAATAAAAATATAGTATATCTTAAAATTTCAGATATAGATTTAAACTTTAAGATATACTATATTTATAGAATCAACTAACGATAAAATATGATTGATTTTTATACAGGCTAAATGTAACCCCTCAGACCGATGCGGATAATTCGATCCGATCTTGAGTGCCACATTATGGCCACCGGAGCGACCCATTATAAAAATAACGGAAAATTTAAAACTTTTTATCAAAACATGTAAACTCATAAAATGATTTATCAGTATACAAAATAAAACAGATTTTCAGGCTTGTATATAAAACAAAATACAATTACATGCCCCCTAATCACATGTACTATACTCTGATAACAACGCCGGAAGAACTCCCTTACTGAAGTCGATAGCTGCACTGATTCAATTCTTTTAACCTGCAGCGGTGAGTAATAGAGTGATCTTCGGAAAGTTCAGTAATACAGAACTACCAGATGATGCTAAAGAACGTGCATATACAAATAAACATATATTTTCTTATTGGTTCTGAACATCCATAGATTTTTTATACTGAGAGAGATCCTACTGATATTTCAGATGATAACGGATAATGAGCTTTCAGTTCAGAGAAATATTTCGGATGTCTAGGTTCAGGAGGTCAGAATAGGTTATCTAGTGTGTTCCCATAAAACCAGTAAAAAGATACAGATCTTTTCAAAACATATATATATACACCCCCATCCTTTCAATATCTGTTTGTGTAGGTTCCCTAGAACCATACACCCCGCACAACCAGTGAGGCCCTGAGCACACAGCCGAGAAGCCTGCAGATATACTTCCTCCAACAATAAACCCCCCATATAAAATATTTCTCCGTCAGTAAACGGAGATATCAGAAATCAAAATAGAATTCAGATAATATATCATAACAGAATCCAGATCAGAAATCAGAACATAATTCAGGTAATGTATCATAACAGAATTCAAGTCGGAAATCAGATAAAATATTTTATATGATTAGGGAACACACTAGAGTTTATGGATATTATTCAGAGGTACAGGATAATCTTAACAGGCAGAGACACACGGATTTTCTGTATAGCAAGAGATTGTCGAAATTTAGAATCACTATTGGAAGAGTTCAATAACTGACGGAATCATCAGTTATTCAAAATGTGACTTGAGCTGATAAAGAAAAACTAAGATTCAGAACATTTACAGTCTATGTCAATTGATTTGATTATCGAACAACTCCAGATGAATAACTCACAGAACTAATGCTTGTCGACTGGTCAATTCATTATCTTTCCAGAGTATTTATTTTTTTAATACCAAAAATTCTTATCCATAGATCATATTCGAAATCATCGCTGAATAGATCTTAAGGAAACTAACAAATATTCCAATACTCTTTAATTCATTTCCACGCTTCCACTATATCATGAAATGCTGACGTGCTTGATTTGTAGTTCATGTCCTACGAGAACATTACATCATGTATGTTCATTAACGTTTCCAGAAACATTGAAATCACTTATTTAATCCTCAGTCCTTGAGGTTACTTAATTCATTTAGCAGTCAAGTGTATCCCAGGTACTTCATAGTTTTCCAGAGTAATTCGGACGTTTCTGAATTTCAGATACGTATTGTACTTCTGTTCAGTTCAATTTGGTCTTCTTGGTTGATTTGTCTAATGAATATCCACTTCTTAGTACCAAATGTAATACAGAGTTGAGCTGGTTACTTCCAAAATTATCATCGATCCAAACTTAATGAGACGAACCAACATTCAAGTGGTACTTATATCATTCAAATAATGATACATCGCTAGCATTAGTTGACCACTTAAGTTGCGTTCCATAACTTTTAAGAGTAGTACAACATCCATGTTTATTTGGATTTCTAAATTAATCCAAGACATTTACTTATTCTAGGCCATAAGGATATTTTGGTCATTTTGGTGCTCAGTTATATTCCATTCATTTCAGAGCTCAAGGATATCCAATCATTCCTGAGCTTGGTGATATTCTTGGTCATTTGCATTCTAAGGGTATTCTGGTCATTTTACAGATCCAGTGTATTATAATCATTTCCTTCCGTCCGATCTTACTATCGAATTCAAACTTATCACTTATTTCAGTCATTTCGAACAATTCTGTCAAAAGATCAACATCGATAAATTATTCTTCATATATTTACTCATAACTTGGAGATTTACGGATTATAAGAAATTTTCTGTATAAACGTATAATTTAACGATGAAGCTAGTAATTCATCGATTTAAGCATAACTTCTGGAGTACTTTTTCATTCAGGGTCAATTCGACTATTTTTCCCTCTCAAGGGTAATTTCATAATTTCTTAACCATATAATTTCAGTATTAAAATTATTAACAAAGATAATTATAATTTAGAAATTCTATGGTTAATTGCTTTCCCGAACATTCTCTGATCCTGAAATGATCTCCTTAACAGACTTTTAGCATCTTGCACAAATCCTCTTGGGGTTTGAAAACCAGTTATCCAAATTTTCTGAGCAAAACTAGCATTTCTTATGCACATCTGTAATTTTATTGGATCAATATGTCTTCTCAGAGTTATTAACCAACTTCCAGGGACAATTCTTGTCATCTTACAATATAAGGGTATTTTCATAATTTTACCCTACCGGATTATTCTCATAATTTCCCATCCAAGTACCTTTATCATTTAACCTTTGATGAAATAAATTATATGTTACAAATCCATGATAATTCCTTTATCACTAATCACAGAGCTCATAATTTAATTCTAACAATCCATCAATTTCTTATATCAGTCATCCGAGCCGTATTCATTTACTAAATTTTTACCGCATCCATGTCGAGTGTATGAATTAATTCAATACCCAAATGAGACCAAAAATTTTCATTCATTTATCAATACCAACACGTTTTATAAAGCATGAAAAGGTAGTAATGTATTACCTCGATTTTTGTGTCATACTGATCGACCATAAAATTCCATTCGAACGCCCTCAATTTTAAATTCAACTTCCAATAAGTCCTCAAATACATAACAATAGAAATTTCATTAAAAACAGAGCTTAAATCCAAAATATGGATCGAATTGGGCGATACATCAGTGAAAAATAGCTTACCCAATTCGAATTTGGCGAAACAGACTTTAGAATCGGACTCAAGACGTCAACAAAACCCAAAATATTACTCTTGAATTCCAACTCACCAACTTGATTTCTAGCTTCCAATCTTTTTCTAACGAACACGGACAATCTATCGTACAAATACGACTTCAATAATTTTCCACGCCATAAAAATAACTTATTAGGATCTAATTAATAATTTGGGGACCCAATTGTTAAAACTAAAAACTTTAGGTGTTAATATAATTTTTAATTACTAAAATTAGGAACTAAATCAATCTTAATAAAACCATTATGCCATAATCATAACAATATGAAAGCTAAGAGACAAGGTTGAGCTCTTAACAACTTGGATGGCTTACCTTGTAATTTCCACTTTTCAATTTAATAACAAAACCCCAAAATCATGGGATTTGCTATTCTCCACTTTTTTTTCATTCTCGTTTTCAACTTCAAAACTGGGTAAATTCTCCAGCTCATCACTTGTATTATTCATCTCCATCATCGCTTACTTTCACCAAATCTCGTTTCCCCATCTCAACGAGTTGTCTATACACCTTATGGTCGAGCTTAACCGAGCTAAGCAAAGCAGATGAAACACAAGAATTCTCTTCAGGGTTCATGAAATCTTTAATATTCATCAGTTCTCACTCGTACAAAGAAAACCCATGAATTAAATCCATCAAATCTTTCGGTTTCAAGTCAAAACCGAAGAGCAAAACAAGTTGAATCACAGAATGACGACCTGGGAAGCCTTCAACCGGAGAACATTGGTGCGAAGCTGGACCACAACAGTCGCTGGCGTTACATGAATTTCGATCAAAGTCGTGGCAGAGCATAAGATTATCATCGGAGCAGAGAAAAGAAGCCGGTTTGGCTTTGTAACATTCACAGATATGCGAACGAACGTGCTTGAGAGAGAGGACATTGGCGGATTAGACTTGTTGGCCATAGAACAAACAGAGACTTGTGGAGTCGACGCTGCAATACAAAACTGCAGGTTTTGAGTTGCAGAAGTGTCATAAGAACAACATGGATCCTCCTGGTTTTGAAACCAACCTTATCCAAATACTTAGCCTTCAGAATTGGAAAATTTTGAAGATAATGATTTTGAATTGCAGGCCAAGCATCGGTGGAAATAAAGCTCACATTGACAAATAATAATTGAATACAATAATAGAGTTCACATCAGACAAAAGATGGAGAATTCACGTGAATTCTAGAATCCCTTAAACTCCATATTCAATTAAAAAACTAACCCTACGAATTGGGGTGTGAATATTCTCCCCTCCTTAAATGAATTTTGTCATCGAAATTTATTCATGTCACATAATTGCAGAAATGAAACTTCCATCAGTTCTTTCATATCTTTCAGTACCTTTTACAGAAATATCGATCCTCTACTAATCTTTAACCATCTGAGTATACATTTTCGTTAGAACTTCCCCTCATTACAATAAAAGAATCTAAATAGAATTATCATTATGGAATCAATTCAACCTTGGTTACGAGAATAGGCTCATAAAGCAGTAGCATATCCCAATTTCATTTCTCGAGCCGGGTCATAATTTCTCAGATGAGTAACTCTCACATGGTTCGTGAGGAACTTTACAGAATTCATATAAACGTTACTGGTATTCCTTTATGCAAACGTAAAGCCTTTGCAGATAAAAAC